AATGTTTTCAACATTGATAATAATAAGAAATGTTTCTTGAGCAGCAAATCAGGATATTAGAATGATTTCTGAAGGATCATGTGACACTGAAGACTGGAGTAATGATGCTGAAAATTCAGCTTTGATCACAGGAATAAATTTAATTTTACAATATACTAAAATAGAAACCATTTATTTTAAATTGTAAAACTATTTCACAATTTTGCTGTTTTTTTCCGGTATTTTTCATCAAATAAATGCATCCTTGGTGAGCATACCAGGTTCTTTCATAAACATTAAATAAAATGTTTTTGTGACCTTCATCCGCACAGAATTATTGTAATATTTAAATTTTCTTTATTTTTTATATATTAAATTTTTTTTACTTTTAAATGATATGTGATAAAATTTTGGCAGATGTTTGTGGCACAACAAAACGTGTACGCTTATTCCTCTCAAGCATGTTAGCTTCAGGATTGGTGGTTTGTGTCTAACCTGGTTGAGAATGAGGGCGTGTTGCAGGTTGAGCTGCTCCTCTTGATTCTCCAGCTCTCTCTGAGACTCCGCCCTCACCCTGGCCTGATGGGCGTCGCCCGCTGACGGCCCCACCTCCTCGGAGTCCATGTCCTCTGACGGGATCTGCCGGAGACGAGGCTTCTCGCTGGACTTCGACATGAGCTGCGGGACACAGACAGAGATCCGGATCAATCTGTTTCCATTTGGGAAACACATCCACAAACTTGTATGACGTGTCACATCTTGAACGAATAAAAAAAAAAAAATGCATTTCCAATATCTGATTTTAATTGCATTTCAAATCAAATATGAATGCATTTTGGTTGAGGTCTGTAAAATAAATCAGATTTCATGCTTTTTCTCTATCCAGACTACAAGCATCTAAAGCAGATTTGCTTCTGATATGTCAAAAATCATTGCATCCTCCTCCCTGTCCTAGAGTAAAGTGAGGCGTGACGGGTGTGATCTGGACCTTGCCCAGGTGAGTCTGCTGCTTGAGTCTCTCCAGGAGCTGCGCGCTGTGCTGCTGCTGCTGGAGCAGGTGAGGATGGAGCGCACGGGGGCTCTGGGGCAGCGGTTCGGAGCGGGTCCGGCTCAGCGGCTTATGAGGACCAGACGCGCTGAACCGCAGGGGAACCGGACCCAGACCGGGAACTGATCACAAACAGCAGGGACAAATCTGATTATAGTTTCATAAAAGCAGAAGGAGATGAAAGCATAATATTCCTGCTAGATATCAAAATATCATGCCACATCGTTTACATCACACAAAATAGAAAATAAGCATGATCCACAATGGCTTAAATATAACAATAGATGAATATAACATCAGGAACTATAAATGCATACTGTATGTAATTAATCATTTTGATATTGATTTTGTATTTAAATTAAAGACTGTCCAGTTTATTTTTTATGTTTAGGTTTTTGTCTTCTTAATAATAATATAACTAATATTTTCTAATAGATAAAATCTGATAAATATAATAAATAATAACATAAAATAAATATATTCATAATCTAAACTGTTTTTGAAAGAAGTCTCTTATGCTCACAAAGGTTTTGTTTATTTTATCACAAATAAAGTAAATTAATTTTGTATAGTATATTGTGTAATATATATTTTTTTAAATGTTGTTTTATTTTATATATTATATAAATAATTGTATAAATATTTTATAAGTAAACATTTTATAAATATCAAATAAAATAATATTTATAAAATGTGAAATATTATTAATTAAAAATAACAGTTTTCTATTTGAATATATTTTCAAATTTGTTCCTGTAATGCATATCGGAATTTTCAGCATCATTAAAAATAATAGAATTTATTTGAAAATTTCTATTTAAAAAATGTTATTACAAAATTAAATTTGTAATAATTTAAAAGACTTTACTTTCACTGTCACTACTAATCAATTTAACGTCTCCTTGCCAATTAAAAGTATTAATTTCATAAAATAAGATAAAATAAAATAAACCTTACTGACTCCAAACTTTTGCATGGTAATGTATATTTTTTCTGATGTCCTATATTTGTTTGTTGTGTAAAACAAATATAAAAACTACACACTATGAATACGAATACGAATAAATAAATGTTTATATTCTGAAAATAATTTGTCAGCGAGACTGTTGTTTCAAGCAGTGACCACTAGATGGCGCACATATCAAGCATATAGTACTTCAGTAGCATTTCCTCACAGTCAAACTCTCAGAGTGATTCAGGCTGCTGTTAGGATCTCTTACCGGCCAGGAGAGGGGTGTGTACGAGTCCAGAGGGCTCCAGGATGAGGACGGGCTGTATGAGCGGCCCGCTCTGCTCTTCCACACCCAGAGGAACCAGCAGCGGAGACGCACCCGACACACGACCCAGCTTCAGCGAGCCCAGCTCACTCTCCACCTGCAGAGACCACTTCACATCACGCAACCAGCTTCTGAGTTAAACTGCAGCCTCAAAACAACTGACGAAACTCGCATGAATATTATCGTATGATGCATCACCCCTGTAAAACTACATTACAGCGATTCTAAATGAGTCTCAGGGCAGTTCTGACACATTAAACCAGCTTCTGAGTTAAACTGCAGCCTCAAAACAACTGACGAAACTCGCATGAATATTATCGTATGATGCATCACCCCTGTAAAAGTACATTACAGCGATTCTAAATGAGTCTCAGGGCAGTTCTGACACATTTTAAAAATAATAGCTACTAAATGTAAATAATGAATGCAACTAAGACAACATGAAACCAGCAAAAACTCCGTTTTGTTCAAGAACGATTGTTGTACTGTATTTTGTCAACACTTGATGTTTAAACTATATGAGAACTAGTGTGTTAATTCATTACTTTCATATGTAAAGTAACACATTTGTTCCTTTTATTTGAGTTATTCTCATGTTATCTGAGGCTCTCACTTACTTGTGGGTGATTTTAAAATTCAAAGTGGTATTTTTTTTAATGTTGACAAGAGCATGAAACGCTACCCTACAGCCCAGTACAGATGCTCTGCGGCTTGCAGTGTTGACAGAGCTGTTGGTTATAATGGGAGCAATGTAGTTTTGTAAAATTTTCAATCAATTACAATATTGTTTAATCAAAAAGGCTGGAATATCCCTAGTGAAAAATAAATATACTAAAATGTATTTGAAATATATTTCATGCTAAGTATACTAAAGATACATTTAAATATGTATGTACTTAATAAAAATTGTAATTGTACTTTTGGTATACTAAACTGGTATACTTAAAGTCTGCTAAATTGGAAAAACTCATTTTGCACTTAATGCACTTTAATTGTGAGGAAGTAGTGCTGAAGTCCAACTAAAGATATACTGAAGTATGTTTGATTGTGCTAAAGAGGAACTATTACAAACACTTAAGGTACACTCTAAATATCTTGCATTTAAAGACTGATATTATTCAAAGATTATACAATCCTCATCAACAGTGACATTAAAACACATTTTAGGCTTAATATTAAGAAATGTGCATTGCGCACAAGTAGTACTCCAAATAAAGTTTCATTATAATTTTTATATCAGTAAGTCTCAAGCGATATGTCAGCAAATATGTTTAGGTTTGAACTATACTTTGTATGAAATAAATGTATTTTAAATATATAAATTTTTAACTAGGGATTATATTAACCAATTATCATCTAGGAACATAATTATTTGTATTGCCATTGTTTTTATAAACATAAAAATAATTCAAAAACAACTCAAAAATAAAACTCGGGTATTATCGTGTAAATTCAAAAAGTAACATCTCTAGTGAAAAAGAAGTGTGCTTAATTGTGCACTTCAAACCTTAAAATAATATTTAAAAACGGTACTTGCAGATAATATAATATTAATGAAATAAAAGGCCACTTAAGTTTATACCTTTTCTTATCTAGCCTAATTTTTTTTATTTTTAAACTACACTTTGCAATGTCAAATTAAACATTTTACTTTAAAGTATGCTTTCAATCATTATATTTTATAATCCTTTGTCATATTTTAAAGAAGTACACTTATTTTGATGAGTTGGCTAACTAAAGCACATGTAAAGTACTTAATTATAATTTTAACTGTAGTTTGTTAAAGTTGTGCAATACTTGTAAGGGATTACTGATCACTGACTGTAAGAAAAAACAAGGCTGTCATGCTGATTGCGATACCTTGGTGTTGGCAGGGAGGCCGAGCGTGATGGTGGGGAGACCGGAGGGATTCTGCACTGTGAAGTGAGTTAAAGAGCCGTCCTGCAACAGCAGCCTCTGAGCCTGAAACACACACACACACACACGCACGCACACACACACACACAGACCAGGCGCACGCACACACCCACACACACACACACACACACATGATGCGCAAAACTCCGCATTTGAA